TTACTAGCGGATGGTTAACCGAATGTTTTTCCAGTAGATTAGAAAGTCAATGGAAGTCTATGTTGATGACATGCTAGTTAAGTCGCATGTCGTTTCAGATCACATACAGCATCTCGCTGAGATGTTTGACATCCTCCGAAAGTACATAATGAAGCTCAATCCTTTCAAATGCTCATTCAGAGTATCCTCAAGAAAATTTATAGGGTACATGGTTAACCAGAGGGGAATAGAGATCAACCCCGAGAAAATCCAAGCTCTCCTCGACATGAAAAGCATGACTAACTGAAAACAGGTTCAAAGTCTCAATGGGCGAATAGCGGCACTTAGTTGCTTCATATCGAGGGTAATAGATCACTGTTTGTCGTTCTTCAACATCCTTAGGGCCAATAAGAAGTTCGAGTGGACTCCCGAGTGTGAACAGGCGTTTCAGAGCATTAAAGAGCACCTCGGAAAACCACCTTTTCTGTCCAAGCCTCTCCCGCAGGAAATTCTACTCCTGTATTTGTCTATCTCTCAGTACGCGGTCAGTGCAGCTTTAGTTCTGGAAGAGAGTAGGGTTCAATGGCCGGTTTATTACGCGAGCAAGGGTCTGTTGGATGCCGAGATACGGTATCCAGAAATAGAGCGATTGGCTTATGCCCTGCTGATCGCTTCCAGAAAGTTGCGACCTTACTTCCACGCCCACACAATCCATATAATGACCAGTTACCCGCTCAAGTAAGTCCTCCAGAAGCTCGAGGCATTGGGTAAATTGTTCAAGTAGGCCATGGAACTAAGTCAATTCAATCTGCAGTATAGACCGAAAGCAACCATCAAAGGGCAGGCTGTTGCAGATTTCATGGCGTGTTGTCGTAGGCACCCAGAATTAAAACCCTAAAAATACACGTAGTAGTGTGAGTAGGGATCGTTCCCACGGAGAGTGTCTAACCGAATTTTATGTTATGTGAACAAGGCTGGGGGGGATTTTAGTAAAAACGTAAACAATTTCAGGAAAATAAATTCAACCTAAATTACCGAAATCAATCAAAATAACAAAACTTGGTCTAAGTCAACATCCACCATCGGAATCTTACAACTGATCATTGATGTAAAATAAATCAATTCTTTTTGTCCTACTCCGGAACTCTCCTAACTTCTGAAATCCTTCAATTCTGAGTCAAAACTTGTCAAATTTTGTCTTTATTCACTAAAAGAGTCCATTTTAACCTGAAATACGAAAAGTAGAGAATTACGCACCAATTCAGGTAAAAATGCACTAGAAAGTACCTGAAATCCGACAAAAAGATTAAATAAAAACTGTATAATTTACGGATTATCAGGGCGTCATTATAATTTTTTCATACTATATAAGTCAACCATCTCTCAAGCCCTAATCCTTCTTTACTCTCCCTCATGGCTCACACAAACAAACCAGTGGCACTATGCATTTCCTGGTGATTGACGAGGCTGTCATCACCATGGAGACAACCTCGTGAGTCACCAGTCCCTTCTACCTTACTCTGTTTCTAGTACTGGGTTTCAGTTTTTTACGATACCGTATTCTACGTCTAAATCCGTGCAGTTTAGAAAACATTTGCCTTGAGTGGACGTCGAATCTCAAAGTTATCGCCTTCTGAACATTCTTCGACAATCCAAACCCCTTAGGGGGTTAATTAAAATAAAGGCATTACCTAGGGGGTCATTATAATTTTTTCATACTATATAAGTCAACCATCTCTCAAGCCCTAATTCTTCTTCATTCTCCCTCACGCCTCACACAAAAAAACCTCCCACATGCCTCACAGAAACAAACCAGTGGCACTATGCATTTCCTAGCGACTCACGAGGCTGTTGGTGTGCTGTCGCAGGCAACCAAAATTAAAGCCTAAAAACACATGTAGTAGTATGAGTACGGATCGTTCCCACGGAGAGTGTCTAGTCGAGTTTTATGTTACGTGAACGGGGGGGGGGAGGGGGTTGGGATTGAGTAAAACGGAAACAATTTCAAGAAAAACAATTCAAATTAATTAATCAAAATAACAAACGTTGGTATAAGTCAACATCTACCATCAGAATTTTACAACTAATCATCGATGCAAGTATATATCAATTGCTACTTCGAGTATTCACCATTGGAACTATTTTCCTATCTCTCGTTAGTTGTAGTTAATTAGGAAACAAGCGATCTAATTAATCTTACTCCTAAACAACCCTAGACAAGCGCTAAAGGTTTAATCCAGTAGCAGCCTTAAGGGCTAGAGAAATCGATGAAGTTGAACAACACAAACACAAGCGGTTGTATTTAATTTAGTTGATTGTTCTTCTTAAGATTTAATAATTCCTGACGTAGCAAATTCTTAAACCTTAATTACTCACAAGTTAGAGGGTTCAAACAATTACGGATTTGATATTTAACTTAGCAGTAGATTGCAACAAACAATAAACTAATAGGCCTCTTAGTAATTAAATGAAACAATCATGAAAATAGGCATAGAAGAACATCCAATACTCAAAACATATATTGAACACTAAAAAAATAGATTAGATCTCACAGTTTTATTGATTCTGAGGCCTCCGTTTCCTTCGACCAATTTATAAAAGTTTTAGCCGCTCATGGCCATAATCAAAACTCAAAAGAGAAAAATTGCAGAAGAGAAGAAGGAGAGGCGTGTGTGTTTTTTTTCTCCCTCAATCTGATCTCTCTCCCCCTTTAAAAATATCCAATTCAAATCTTTTAATTCTATTCAATCTCCTAAAAATATTCTAATATCATAAAATAACATTTATCCTAATCTGATTAATTGCAAATAAAATAAAGTCCTAAAATAAAATAGGAAAGTGGTGTTTCCAACTGTAAATTGCGTGCACTAGGCCTTCAAAACTTCCAATAATAAACTGCCTATTTGACTTGCATGATAAGGCGGAATGTTCCAAAACGTCAGTAGTGCAGGTACGTCAACTTTAAGCCCGATTACAACCTTGATGCAGCGAGTATCTCTCCAAACACAAAACATGAAAGTTGTATATCTCTTTCTTAGGGTTCCACAACATTTTGAATCATCTAAATCTAAGTTTGGATGAGAGACTTATGCCCTGATTACAAAGCGATGTTGAAACTATCCGAATTCAACTAATTAGTTTTGTTTTGCATTTAACGCCTCCATTTGCATCCTAAATCAAAATAGAATAATAATGAGTACATTTAGTCAAAAAATAAGTATAAAATACTAACATTAAGAGGGTAAATATGACATTTTGCATTCTCATCAGTTGTCATCACCATAAAGACAACCTCGTGAGTCACCAGTCCCTTCTACCTTACTTTGTTCCTAGTACTGGGCTTCAGTTCTGTACCATACCATATTCTATGTCCAAATCTGTGCAGTTTAAAAAAAAAAAATCACCCCAATCGGACATCAGATCGTAAAGTTATCGCTTCCGATCATTCTTCGACAATCCAAACCCCCTAGGGGGTTAATTAACATAAAGGCATTTCCTAGGGGGTCATTATAATTTTTTCATACTATATAAGTCAACCATCTCTCAAGCCCTAATCCTTCTTCACCCCACCTCATGCCTCACACAAACAAACCTCCCTCACGCCTTACACAAACAAACCAATGGCATTATGCATTTCCTGGTGACTCATGAGGCTGTTATCACCACGAAGATAGCCTCGTGAGTCACCAGTCCCTTCTACCTTACTTTGTTTCTAGTACTGGGTTTCAGTTCTATACCATACCGTATTCTACGTCAAAATTCGTGCGGTTTAAAAAAAAAAATCACCCTAATCAAACATCGGATCGCAAAGTTATCGCCTTCCGAACATTCTTCGACAATCCAAACCCCCTAAGGGGTTAATTAAAATAAAGGCATTACCTAGGGGGTCATTATAATTTTTTCATACCATATAAGTCATCCATCTCTCAAGCCCTAATCTTTCTGCACTCTCCCTCATGCCTCACACAAACAAACGTCCCTCACGCCTCACACAAACAAACCAGTGGCACTATGCATTTCTTGGTGACTCACGAGGCTGTCATCACCACGGAGACAGCCTCGTGAGTCACCAGTCTCTTCTATCTTACTCTGTTTCTAGTACTGGGTTTCAATTTTGTACCATATCGTATTCAACGTCCAAATCCGTGCGGTTTAAAAAAAATCACCTCGATCGGATGTCGGATCGCAAGGTTATCGCTTTCCGAACATTCTTCAACAATCCAAACCCCCTAGGGTGTTAATTAAAATAAAGGCATTACCTAGGGGGTCATTATAATTTTTTCATACTATGTCAGCCAGCCATCTCTTAAGCCCTAATCCTTCTTCGCTCTCCCTCACGCCTCACACAAACAAACCTCCCTCACGCCTCACACAAACAAACCCAGTGGCACTATGCATTTCCTGGTAACTCATAAGGCTGTCATCACCACGGAGGTAGCCTCGTGAGTCACCAGTCCCTTCTACCTTACTCTTTTTCTAGTATTGGGTTTCAGTTCTGCACCATACCGTATTCTATGTCCAAATCTGTGCGGTTTAAAAAAAAAAAAATCACCCCGATCGAACGTCGGATCACAAAGTTATCACCTTTCGAACATTCTTCGACAATCCAAACCCCCTAGGGGGTTCATTAAAATAAAGGCATTACCTAGGGGGTCATTAGAATTTTTTCATACTATTCAAGTCAACCATCTCTTAAGCCCTAATCCTTCTTCACTCTCCCTCACGCCTCACACAAACCTACCTCCCTCAAGCCTCACACAAACAAACCAGTGGCACTATGCATTTCCTGGTGACTCACGAGGCTATCATCACCACGGAGACAGCCTTGTGAGTCACCAGTAGCTTTTACCTTACTCTGTTTCTAGTACTGGGTTTTAGTTCTGTACAATTTCTTTTTTTCAAAATTTAAAACTTTACTACGCATGAAAAGAAGTTGAAAAGTTCTTGTTTGATGTTTGTAGTTTTTGTTTCTGGGTGTGAAAAGAAATTCAAGATCTAGATGTTGGGTTGCCGTTTTGAGCTACCCTTGGATCCCCATGTAAATAAAACCGGAGACATCTGGCACATGCATATCAAGGTAGTCTTGCTGTTGGGTTTCGTATATCTCTATCTATGTTTATGGGTTATGTAAATCTTTCTTTTTAATGTTCAATGATTAGGTTTCAGCTATATTAATTTTTATTAGCATTTATACCTTTCAGTTCATTGAATATCATGGATTGAGTTTGCAATATTATAAGATTTCTAATAAAGTTTGAAAACTGATACAACTGTCTAAGGGCCAACTTTAGTTTAATTGGCAAGAACCATTTTTCTTTAAATTACAAACACCTATTTTACTGGATTATTGTTAATGCTGTTGACATACTTCTGTTAATGTAGGATCTGCCTCGGAGCAATATTCTCTATTGCATTGATTGGGGAGAAAATTACAAGCTTCCAGTAAAATTTTCAGTTGCTGGTAGAGGGTTCAAGTAACCACTGAGCATCAAAATTTTCAATTGCTGATGTTCTTTCCCTGCCGATATATATGGAAGTAATATCTGTTACAAAAGCTTTTCTTGCGAAACTTATCTGTCTTTTTATACATTAGTAGCTGCAGAAGTCCGTGATTATTGCATTTTCATATATTCCTGAAATATCTTATCTGAAATTTTTTGACGATTCCACATCTTTTAGAGCGAAGTGTCAAAGCTGTGGAGTTGCTGCCAGTCTTTGAGTTTTAGTTTCAAAGGCGCCCAAAAATTTGCTGCCAATCTTGGTGTGTATTGTGGCTTGCCTTCAACTTTTCATGTACCTGTTATTGTGAAATTTCAGAAAGCTTTTGCAACATAATTTTTTCTTTGACTATTTGTTACATCCCAGTTGTTGAGTCTTATATGATAAATTCTTTATTACTTGCTCTAAAACACGAATTTTCCTATCAAAAAGCTGAACTCTTATGTGATTCATTTTTAAACTTCTATTTTTTATATTAAGTTAATTGCCTCATGCAATGTTTTGTTTTTTTAACGTGAATACCATATGTTGTTCATCTGTGAACATAGTTGATAATCCCATGGATATAGGCTCACTTTGGATTTCTATATGTGAGAAATTTGACCATTGAATTTAAAAGTTATAAGTTCTAAAATTTTCCTCCTTTGTTATTCTTTTTTCCTGTGTGCCAAACTTAACCCTAGTCAATCCGCGAGGCCAAATCTCTAGTGGAAATTTTTGCAATCTTGTGGCCTAATTTACTATTTTTTTTTTAACTTCAAAAAATGGTTCGAAGATGAGAGATCGGTAGGAAGATGAAGAATTAGCTAAATAGATATGTCCAGATTTGTTGTGGATGAGTGTAGCACTATTTCATGAACAAAACTTTGCATTTATGTTGTTTTCTTTTTAATTATGAATAAATTAGCCTAAGTTGGGCTGCTAGGAATTCACACTTCTGTCTTCACGATTTCAGGAGGAATTCATAGTAATAAGAGTAATAAGAAAAGTTGTTACATAATTTACTCGTTCATTCATTGTTTTCTTTTCCATTATTGTTTTCCATGATCCAAAACTATATAAACTATAATGTTAATAACAAAAAGCATCCTTTCATATGCATAAACTATGGTAGAATTCTATTTATCTGTTTCCTGAATTCTGTGTAAACATATGACTCAGTCCAAAGTTCTCTTTACCAAGACTTTTACCGAGTTTCAGCTGAAGATTCTGTATCGGCAGATTCATAAGACGAACCCAGACTTCACATTGACGGATGGATTGATGGTAACTTGATAATATTGCTATTATAAGATTATGTACCACCTTATGCTGTACAAATTTGTCAACCCATTTAATTATGTCAATTTATGTATGCTGTGTTATTGCAACCCACCTATTTGCATTTTATTTTAAGATTCTTGTACAGTAATGTGTACTATATCTGTGGGCCAGTTCTTTTTCAAATAATAGTTTTTTTTATGACTTTTAAGATTCTTTCCATGTGTACTTGAAACCCTAGTATAGATATCTATACCAAATGAATGAATACAATTTTGTTTGCACTTCACCATAATTCCGCTGGTGCTATACTCTATTCCAGGAGTACGAGAATTTCTTTTTAAAGCTTATATCAACATCTAATTACTTCGTTGACATTAATCCTATGCTTTATCTAGATTTTCGTCATTGTGCTTGAGAATTAAAAATTCGAGAAAGTAATTGTATCTTAGTACTTGAAATAAGATATCATCAGTAGTTTACCGCAAACTCAAATTTCTCCAGCTTTAAACAAATACATTGAATGTTTCATCTGAATTTGTTTTCCAATTTTTGTTTTAGGAATGGGTGTTGGGATTGAAATATGCTTTACAATATCGTATGTTTACAGGTATATTATCATTAGTATCATTAAGTGCTACCAAAACTTGTCGAAACATGTATTGAAGATGCAAAAGAAATCTAAAAGTGATGTCGAATGCATCGGTCTTGTTCCTTGTATCGACACAGGTTTGCGTCGGCCATTTCTGTAGAACACACTGCAATCTAAAGCAATATTTTTTTTGTCATCAAAACTTGTATACTCTATAATTGTAAAATGTTCAGTATTTTTTATATTCTAGATCTATACTGGGTACCTTACAAATGCTTAGAACATGTTCATTTCATTTCTCATTTCTCAAAGACAATATTTAATTGGTCCTCAATTTTTTGTATATATTATGAGGAGCTTTCATCTTCAGGCAAGTATACCACCCGATCCCACTTTCCTGTACATAATATTGCAAACCAGGCATATCAATAGGAGTCTCACATGTTATGTGATTACAATGAAATGAATTCAGATATCTTGAACACGATCATGGGCATAAATATTTTTTACATAAAAAGAAAAGTTGTCAACTTACATTAGTCCTCACAGAAGCGTCTTCTCATCATTGCCCTCTTCTTTTGAAGACCTACAGTTTTTGGCACTCTCTGCATCAGGCATACACTGAAAAGTTCTGATACTATAATTTTACAACCCTAATCCCCACATTCTCTAAACAATTCTATAAAAGGCCCCAAAATCAAACAAACTACAACTTCTATGGCAATTAGGTTCTTGGTTCACATAAAAGACTCACCACCTAGCAAAATTTTCATTAGGTAATCAAACAGCAACGAATCACGGCAATTTATATTTTTTCACCATACAACTTATGTCCCCAACCTAAATATACTCATCTCACTAAAATTGCAAAATTTCACCTTAATAATAAACTAAACTAGAGTAAGAAAACAACATAATAATTTTTTAGTGGTTGCAAACTACCTGCAATCCTCGTTCACATTGATAATCATAAAACACTATTCATTTTATGTACACATCTCAATCAGTTTTGAGTGGTTGCTAACTACAAATCATCTGGAAATTTACAAGTGAAGAGCAATCTGGTTCCAAACATCACTTGAACCTCCAACAATTCCATTATATGATTGTCTGGAATGAAGGCAGAACATCAAATACAGAGGCTTCCAGTCTTTAACAAGAAGAGACACATCTTCAAAATCTCTTCATAAGTTTGTAGTATTTTGGTACTTCCCCACACAAACCACAAGAAGAGACACATGATCAGATATCAAAACTGATGACTGGTATCAACAAATTGTGATTAACTGATAAGAGTTGGTTCAAGGTTCATCACTTTATCCCTTTTTTTAGTATTTAAATTGTATTATGTTGACACTAATGTAATGTTAACAGTGTAAGTGTAAGAGCCATAGATTCTTAACCTCGAGGGTCCTTTGGCTCTTTAGTGAAGCACAGATTGAAGGAAATCTCTAGTAAATTATTGATAAGTGTTAGGGCTAAAAATCGTCTTGGGCCTGACGAGGCCCAATCACGAAATAAACATGTCATGGCCCAAGGCCCCAGCCCAATCCCGATTGGGCCTATGCTTAAAATCACCTTGTGAACTACCCACTCTATGAGTTTGGCTATCCTACAAGTTAAGCTGAACTGAGTTCTGGCCCATTAGCCTGCAATAGTCCATAAATAGGAAATCAGAATCATTCTATTTCCCCTTTTATGGAGATTCTGAATCTATTAAACTTAATTTGATAAAGGCAATAAATCATATTTCTTTCTTGATAGGGATTATCTCCCAAAATAGGACTTAGTGTCCTAATAGGATTCCAACCCCTTTGGTTCACTATATAAACAAAGGTCTCCCCTCTCATAAGGGGAGTGATCTCCCATAGTCAATCTAAATTAATCAAAACCATCTATTTACTCCTAAGTTCTTGCTCCCAAGAACCCGATGCCCCCGCCGTAGTCCTAGCCTCTGACAAGACTCATGGTAATCATTCTTCTCCTTAATTCTTATTAAATCATCTCTTTTAGCCTTCCTGACTTGAGCGTCGGAGTGCTTATGGCAAACACCACCCTGGTGTTTTTCGTAAACTTTACGCTTGTCTTTTCATGTGTGCAGGTTGTAACACCCAACATTGAGGTACATGATTTAAATTATGTTGTATAGCCCTTAGTTAAATTTTGTTAGAATTATTTTAAGAGAATATGAAAAAAATGCCTTAAATTTGCATTAAGGGTAAAATAGTCTTTTCACTCAAAACTAGTTGATTTTGTGGGGAGTGAAAAGAGATAGAAAATCATAGAGAATTCAATAAAAGTGAAGGCATTTTGGTAATTGACTAAGGGACAAAGATGGAATTGCATTCTAAGGGACAAAGATGGAATTTCTAGGAAAGAGTAAGGGCAAAATGGGAAATGAGTTTATAAACTAAAATGTTAAGGGTTTGAAACCCTTATTTCGTTCATACCACCCCCACACTCCTCCTCCTTTTTCTCTCAAATTTTCATTCACTTTTCCAAGGTTTTTGAGGGCTTTTGAGTAGATTTGCATAGGGTTTTGATTCAAGGCATCAAAAGGTAAGGATTCATACTCTTTATCAATGATTTATTTGTGTAAAGGTTGAGTTCTTATGAAGTTTATGCTTAGGGTTAAGAGAAGATTGGAATCCAACAAGAGAGAGAGTTTAGGAGGACTACTCAAGCCAAGGTAAGTAAATTCCACTCAAAATCCAACTCAAGCTAAAATTTAAGAATTCAAGTGAGTAGAGATTTTTTAAATATGCATATGTTGTGATATGAGAAATTGAGATGAGATGTATGATGTATTATGCTTATTGTTGGATATATTTGAATATGAGAAGTATATGTGATGATTTGATGATGGGTTGAAATTGAAAGAATTGGAGAAATTCTTTTGGGAGTGGTTTGCCATGTAGGTATGTGATGCTACAAGAGAGTTTTTCTCTCATTTGGATGGTTTGAGAAATAAATAGAATGATAATTGAATTAGAGTTTGTTTGTGCACAACTATGTTTGATGAAATGCCTAAGTGAAACATGTTAGCAAACTGCCCTGTCACAGCCGTGACTTTCTAAGTGATTTTGGGCATTTTACACATCGAACTGGGTTTAGACCAAAACATAAAAGTTGTAGCTCTGTCTCTAAGCTTTAAAACAATACTAAAATCGTATCAATCCGATGTGTATAACTCAGTTATGTCTTTTTGAGTGTGACCTGTGCAGAATGACTATCTTGATGCAATATTGCATTTTGTATTTCATAAGTGCATTAAGTAAGAAACTTTAAGCATGAACCATACTTATGCATTAAGAAGTAGTTTGAAAAAGAGTAGAGAACTTTGTGAATGACTACTCTAAAAGTAAAGAGAGAAAAAATCTAAGAATGGGTTGGTGGGTTGGTGCTTTGTGAACTCCACCCGGAAGTCACGAAGAGTGGGTTGGTGCTTTGTGAACTCCACCCAGCCGTGCCTCCGGTAAGATGAGGCCGTGACATTCAAGTGAGAAAGAAAGAGAAAATATGAGAAAGAAGAGAGAAACAGAAATGAGTAGAAGTCACAAAGAGTGGGTGGGTGCTTTGTGATCTCCACTCAGCCGTGCCTCCGGTAAGATGAGGCTGTGACATACAACAGAAAGTTAATAGAAAAGAGAGCTATGTGAAAGAGAAACAGAAACATAAAAAGAAAATAAATGAGAGGAGAAGAGTGTAAGGAAAGAATTAAGAGAAAGAGTTACAGGGATAGACGAGTAGAGGATTTACTTACTGAGCATTATTTTGTGCTCACCCCATTGTTTATCTTTGTGTTTGCAGGATCTAGGTGAGGACGCGGTCGGATGAGCGTTGGCAAGCGAGGAGCAATAGCTACACTGTCCACTATTTTTGATAACTTTTACAAATGATACCTTACTTTATATAAAGAATGATTATATGTATTAAAAAAAAATTTCGGGCCCATTTACTTTTGCTAATATAAATGCATTTTACTTTATGTATTTCTATAAGTAACCTAGTATGAAGCAGTTATTACACAGGTCTAGTAGATTGTCAGTGGCCTCAATCTCACTGGATCCGACCCTATTTCCGTAGCTTTAGATTTTTTGCATTACAGTTTGGCGCCCACCATGGGGCCCTGAACTTACTTTGATTGACATCGTTAATCAGAAAGCTCAATCACGATAAGAAAAAAAATTTCTTTACTTTTCTTCATTTGTTTTATCTATTCACATGTCATATTATATCTATTCAGCACATCATAATTTGTTTTATATTATGTCTATCCTGCGAGTAATATGATACTTTGAAGCCTCAAAACACATCTCTCATGTTCGTAATAAGTTCATGCGACTCTCCTTTTCTTTTTAGCAATAAAGGAAAAGTACAGATGTTATTTAGCTCTGCAAAATGGGCACATTCCAACCAGCTCTTTTAAGGGAATAGCCAGCTTCGTTCTTCACACCTCAAACCACTACCAAAATCTCAGAAGCATAGAACTCACCTCCTTAATCCTCCAAGATCAAGAACCCATGAGAAATCCACTAAAACCCATTAGAGGAAAGGAAGAAATCAGAAGAAAACCAACACCAAGACTCTTTCACGCATATTCTTTTTCTACTTCTCCTCCAAAAATATGCAAAACTCAATAAACCCATGAAACACATTCAGCCTCCTCTAAAAAAACAAAGCCACCAAGCGTTTGGTAAATTATTC